ATTACCAATTACAAACCACGATTGTCTGCTCCATTAATCATTGAAATGATTCTGGGAACATCGACTACAACTGGTTCTTAAAAGTGGATGATTACTTTTTAAATGCATTACTGGCAAAGGTGAATATTGGCATTAATATCAATCAGTTTCATGGCTCAAAAATACAAGGAAGTATGACTAAATATTTCCCTCAAGACAGTTCGGTTCTATGCCACAGCTTTAGATCAGCTTTTTCAAACAAAAAAGCATCACATTGTGACTTGCAGCGAGCATTCATCCAAGAAAGTAAAAGATGAAATAGTTTATAATAGGATGAAGAGAGATTGTTGTGGTTTTATTTGTTTACAACATTATACTTTTTTATGTGTGTTTTATGTGCAACATAAATAACAATGACTTACTGTGAAACCTCTGAGGAAAAACAAGAGGCCACAAGTGTGTGCAAAGTTACATTTAAATTATGTTTGTTTCCGAGCATCCTAACATCTTGTGAGATTTCAGCACTTTAAATGCACCTTCACCATCTGGGAATGGTTGCTGTGACTTATGCGTTTAACTCATTCATTAATCAAGCTAAACTCAGGGGGAAACACACTTTAAAGTGGAAATATGCTTTCAGCTAAATGATAAATCCTGCACAGCTCTAATATCCTCTGCAATAATTCATGGTTTTGTGTTGGATCTGGTCCATTCTAAATGATTTGCTGCAGGAGTACAACAGGGCTAGAAGTGGACAGACAAAAGAGGCTTGAACCTGCGGCACCTACATTTTTTCTATTATATGAATCTTTTTCATACTTATAATACAGAGCCCTACAAGTCACTATCACTGAGAAAGGTGTTCTAAAGATGTGACAGAAGCCACAAAATTGCATTCGTGTGAAAAATAGCACTGAGAAGTAAAAACTGGATTAAAATACATTATTGGGGTTTTTTGGGGTTCGAAGGTTAGATTCCCCAGGTTTAACAAAATGTCTGAGATGAAAAGAAAGCTTCTCACTATAAGCTATAGCGCTTTATAAATTGTAAAAGAACAAATAATTATACTACAAAAATACACAAATAACAACAAAAACACAAATAAGACAGAAACTATTTTCTACTCCATGGCGACTTATGGCTTAAATATATAATTGTAGTTTTTGCCTTCATTGCAGCTTAAATTGGCCTGTTGGAAAAGTTCAGCAACAACAGTTATCGTGGGAAGATTTTCCTTACTATGAGAAAAGGATACCGTGTTTTATTGAGAATATACAAATTCTAATGGTTAGTGACACATACATACACAAAGCTAAGTGATTTACCAGAGGGAAGAGAACATAATGCTTTTGCACTTGAATCAGTCAGTGCACTTTAACAAAAGCACTCATCAGAAACTCCACTTGTTTAAACCATTTCAACCAAACATAAATTATACCCGGGCGATCCCTCTATCTGGAGTATGTGTCAAGAATTTGCTGTAAAAAGTCTGATACATTTGAGGGTAGACGAAGCATGTTGAAACGTGCTTGTAAACACAATGACGCATGTACCCAGTGTGGTTGTATTATTTATACACAATGTTAAAAGAACATTGACAGAACCACACAGATATTGCTAAACGCTATGTCAAATGAAGTGTCTATTAAATATTGACTTTATAGGCAACAAAACTATCCAATTTTGTTCCACTGAGCCGTTTTACTCATCTTGTTCCACCCAAGCATTTTATAGGCATGAGGTCTTCTGACTATTCTGTATGTGATGTTAGGAGTTGATGCGGCTGCTTTTTACAGAACGTTAGGTTTTACTGTCACTTCTTATGTTCCTTTATGTTCCTTAAAAGTGTCATAAGTTACTGACACTTTTTAAGAACAACAACAATGTTTTTTTGTTTTTTTTTTTTTACAGATGATAGATGCCTAATTTTAGAGAACTAAATAAATGTGGTTGTTACTTTAAGGCTATCCTCCCAAAGACTATTGTGACGAACTTGTCTCTCAATTATAATAAAACTGTTAAAAAAAAACCTTCAGAAACAAACATACTTTTGCTTTGTTGGAAAAGCCCTACCTTGTCTGTAGCTGCTGGAAAGGTCAATGGCACAGATGATCATCAGGAGAGGAGCAGCTGGAGATACAGAAGTGGCTAATTTTGTCTAATGTGCAGGGAGTAAGAATTCATGTTATTACACTTTCCTTTAATCAAGGATATATCAAAGGATTAAAATAATATACAATGCATTTGAGAAGGCCTATTTCTAAAGCTGTGGTGCTTAAGTTTTTGTTCATAAATGACACCTGTTGTTTGTCCCAACAGAAAGAGTCTTGTGAATGTAAAAAGTCAACAGATCAGAACTTCAGATCAGAAAACATACATTTAGCAAACTTTGCAAAACCTTGAGTCACTTTTTACTGCGTTGGACTGAGAGATGATTTGCTGATCTAAAGACTTGATGGAGATGAAAAAAAAAATGCATAATGTGAAATATATCTCACATATATATGTACTGTTTACACCTCTGTTCATGCTGCTTTAAGTTTTGTAACTGTCTTTTAAGTTTGTATTTTTAAATTGAAATGTACTTTTTATGTAGGACGACGTTGAGTATCTAAAAAGGTGCCTAGGATAACAAATGAATTATTATAATCACTTTAAAGAACCGTTTTAGATCCCAGAACGACCAAGATGGATTTTATGACACAATTAAAATGTTGTGGGTTGAAAGTTACGTACTCCAGCTTTAAATTGCAACAATCTACGAGGACCACAGATGGATGTAATATTACATCACTGAATCCTGTGTGAATCATATCCGACACACTTAATATAACTCGCAGAATCCCATTATACCGTGAGAGAGGACACAGCACCTTGCCCTGGTGGATGGAGCTCTCTGTTTGTCTTTGCCTGTGGTCTGATCTCTTGTCATAACATCATTCATTCTCAGAGCTGGACTTTGAAGGCCTTTGGCAGCCGAGACATGACAGTGGCAATGTCCCGCACGTATCCAGCCGCGACAATGGGTTTCCTCCTCACTTCCTGCGCCACATCCTCAGTGAACTCTTGGACTCTTGCTGTTTGTTTTAGGAGACTTCGACCAGTGTTATTGTGAAATTCCTCAAGGGACGCATAGAACATAAACAGAAGTGTCTTTGGGAAATCAATTAAGCTCAAAATCTGAAATTCAGTGGGTGCCTCAAACTCCCAGATACATTTTGATTACTATTGTGTCCCTCTTTCTCTGTGTGTGATATATAACAAGAATATAGTAATAGAAATATAGCATAACCTTTATTGGAAATTGATCAAAGTTTTGAATGAGCTATTTTCTACAAGATATCTCAAAACTTTATTGAAAAACATCTAAATATTAAATTTTCTTCAATAGATAGTACTCAACCTTTTATATTTGAAGAATGTTGTTGCTTGTTAAAAACAAAAACTAAATGGAAAGCTGCAAAAATAACTAAAATCAACACAAACCAAACAAGTGGTAAATCATGAAGTGTAGATATAGAAAAATAATAAATGTACAATATTTTAAGTTTCTGTACTTTCACGTTTCATCTTCATTACCAGCACATTCAAATCAAACAACAAAAATTATGATTGCATTTTGCGCCCTCGTCCCTTGTCTTTGTAACTTGTTTCTTGTTCCTTAACCCTTGCCAAGTCCCAGGTTTTCCCATAACTGAGTAAATGTTAAACCAAAGCAACACCACATTAGTGAAGTTTGTCCGGCTCAAACTCAATGAACCCAACATGAACAAGTAAATAGCACGACACATTGCTCCAGTGAATAACCCAACAAAGATAATGCTGTCGGCTGCCATGTTGCTGGAACCCTGAACACTTTTAAGTAAGTTCAAACAGACAAAAGCACTGAAGTCCGGTATCTTTACTCCTCAGTGAATTACACGCCCAGCCTATCTTTTTCTCTGTTCTACAAACGCTAGATCTCTTTAGATTATTATCTGGTCATGATTTATTTAACGCAACATCAAACACAAGGACAATTTGTATTCCCGCAAAATCTTGGGGCATCTAAAAGAATATTTTAAACAACATTAATCAAATTCTATTGTAGCCTTAACTGCCTCCATCCTCTATATGTCTTGCATCTATAATGTTCCATAGTACAGCATTAGATGTAACTAGGCTATCTCCATGAAGCAAAGTCCGATCTACTTGCAAGACAACATATTTCTCAAGGCATCTTCTAGAATTAAAAAACACTTTACAGATTGAATGTGGACTCCACTGCCACTCACATCTACCACCACTCAAACCAAATCCTCCAGCTGCAGTAGTCCTGAGCAAGCCGAAAGACAGCATCTGGGCGCTGCACTGTAGTGTCCACTGATTCTGACAGGTTGCTCTAGTGCAGGGGTGTGCAAACTGGTCCAGAAAGTGGCTGCAGCTTTTCTATCAGACCCAGCAGCAGCAGCGCAGCTCATTTTCTCAAGTGAGTTCAGTCTTAACCTGAAGATTTGATGAAATGGATGCAGTCTGCTCTGCTCCTGCTGGGTCTGATAGAAAACCTGCAGCCACAGCAGCCCTTTCTGGACCGGTTTGGAATCCTCTGCTCTAGTGGCATTGAACAATGAGGACAATAAAAGGTACGACCCTTCAATAGTGCCTGAATGTAGAATCAGTTTAATACCAAACTGTAACGAGAGGACAAGCGAGATATAAGGGAATTACAACGCTGCAAGAGGAAAACCACATGCAAAAAACGAATGTATTTTTTCTGGTTGTTCTTTCTAGAATATATGTACATGCAAAGTGCCAGCTCAGCACTGGTTTTACTGTGTGCAGCTTGATCCACTTAAGCCAGCAGCAACAATGGAAATGTCATCATCATCTTGTTACATTTCTGCAGAAAACCAGGAAAGGGGGGGAAGAAAATCAGCTTACATGGCGTAAGAGGGGGCCATCCGGGTGAGAAGCATTCCTGGACTGATGCAACCGGAGTAAGATACGCGGACATAGCGGCGGGTCCAGTGTCCTATGGTCCCTCACGAATTCAGCAGACCACTGGGCTCCATCTGCGCTGGACGTCGAGGAAACTACAGGTTATGAGAAAGGCTCTGGAGGCCTTGGCGCCCTGTGGCCAAAAATAAACGGACTTTCATGTCATAAAATAAGACTAATATTATTCACTTCAGTTTAACAAAATTATGCCTAGTCAGATAAAAGTACCAACTAAGCCAAACGCCAAAGCTAGCTAGGCGTTATTATTTGAGCCTTCATTGCATTTCATAAATAAAATTACTTACACTCGACAACTTACTGTATTCTTTATTACGGTTCAGTATTCCCTGTGTTCAACTTCTCTGATATAGCAACTCAAGCAGTTGGATTTGATGGTGAGTAGAGGCTGGTTGAAATAAAGTTATCGTTTTAAAACTATTTCTATCTGTACAGTCCACTCGAGAGGCTCTGGCGCTGGGAATCATTAAAAACTGTATTTGACCAGTAAAAAACCAGGTAAAAGCCAGGCTCAGCTCCACAAGAACTGAAATCAATTACTTTCAATAACCGTCCTGGATTATAAGTGAATTGGCGTAAAGCGATCTGGGTTGTGTCTGGTTTTATTGTGTTTGCTACACAGAAAGGAAACATGCGAACAACCAATGCCATGCTCATTTCATGAATAGATACAGATACACAGAAAACCGGTGCCTAAAGTGGTAGCGAATTATGTAAACGGGGGTGGTTTTGATGAATGAACCAGTGGTGGGTGGGAAATGGCATTGGGCTGATTCTACAATCAGAGATACTCTACAGTTTGGGGCCGGGGTCCAAATATGTGAGGGATGTGTTTTTTGATCCTTTCATGGCGTAATTCTATACGAGGGAATTGGATTATTCAAGTATTAAATTGTTTGAGCAGAACAGTAATGTTAAGTTTTAGTTAGTCTGATTAAGGGGTCTATTGTAGACAGTTAGCCTTTGAAGTTTGACATGATAAATGACAAGAGCGGTGGTACATGAGATTAAACCCGCCTCCTGTCATGGTGTATGAAGGAGAGTGTCCTTGTGTCAGGTCACATGACTCGCAGAGTATCAATTTTAATGAAGGCTCTCCTCAGCAGGTGTCCCCGCAGCACGAGAGGTGCCATCCCCGCCGCCAGCCTGACGAGAGCGGTGACTCCTAATGTCCATCCTACAGGTCACTGTGGTGTACACTCACAGGTCAGTTTAATCAAGTGCACAGGAATCGGCTTACGGTTACAAACACAGGTAGTAAAATAAATTAAAGATGCCCACAAAGAAGAAAAAAACTACACGGAGGACAGGACGAGAAAGAAACCAAAGGATGTGGATGACGAGGACTCTGAGGATCAAGAAAAACCAAACCAAAGAAGAAAAGTGAGTCAAGCAAGTTGAAGAAGAGTAAGAAGAGCAGAGGCAGCGATGAGGAGCGTGACAACTCGGACACTTCAGGATCTGACGTGAAGAGGAGCAAGAAAAAGACCAAAGACAAGGAAAAAGCCAAGAAAAAGAAAACCAAAGAGGTGAGCGAGGATGAGCTGAGTGGTCACATCTCAAAACTCCGACCAAGACAACAACAATGTGTCCAAAAAAGCTAAAGCGAGAACTGCCAGATGTGATAGAGACCACCAAGAGGGCGCAAAAAAAGTCCTCTTCAAAGGAGAAAATGGCAAAAAAAATCTAAAAAATCGGACTCAGAATTTGGAGAGAGGAGGTGGGGATGAAGATGAAGGGAAGAAGAAAAAGAAGGACAACGTCATCTGGACGTTCATTCAAGGTTGCAATGTGGTACAGAACCGGTCGTCCATAAATAATATAACGGTCCGACGTCCTATCAACGTCTTATATGACCAAAATATTGACGTTCATATGACGTTCGTTTTCCGTTGTTCCCACTAAGCAAGCAGATGTCAAAACTATGTCATTTCAACGTCATCTGGACGTCATCTGGACGTTATCTGGACGTTCAAATGACGTCGCGGCCACTTCATTCAAGGTTGCAATGTGGTACAGAACCGGTCGGGTCCAACGTCCTCTCGACGTCTTATATGACCAAAATATTGACGTTTATATGAGGTCCATTTACAGTCCTATTGACCTACTTAACCTCTGCAGAATCACTTACTAGTCGAGACATACTTTTTTCAATAGGCAAGGCAAGTTTATTTGTATAGCACAGACAAAACAAAAGGAAACTCAAAGCACTGAACAAAAGATAGAAACAATCAAACAAGGCATTACAATTATAAATATTGACAGTAAATTAAAAAGATACAAATAAAATCTCTCATAAAATCTCTCAGTTGAAGCAGAAACAGAAGTGTTTTAAACCTGGATTTTAACATTGTCAAAGAAGAAGCCTGTCTCACATTTCCAGGAAGACCGTTCCAGAAGTTAGCCTTGTGAATCTGAAATGCAGCTTTATCATGTTTAGTTCTGACTCTGGGCAATAAACGATAAACACAGCATTCAAAAATCATTAGAACAACTGTAGTAGAAGGATATCAGTCATTATTGCAAATGGAGCTGCATTAAAAATCATGTTTCTCTACATCAAAGTACAAGTTAAACCACACAGGGCACAGTGTTATGAACACTACTGTACTGAACAGTTCATGCCAAAGTAAAAAAACATGATTGTAGCGCCTATGTTTGGATCAGTATTAAAACAGGCACAAGCTACACTCTAGGTTCCCCAGATGTAAAAACACAATCTGAAAGGCAGAAGAATGCATTTATTGAATGTTGAGGTTCCAACATGTGTCCTCTCTTGGTCTTCAGTCTCTCATCACAAGGTCCAAGCACAGCACCTGAAAATGTGGAACATGTTTAGTTTCAACATAATGTGGCAAAGTGATATAACAACACATAACTTTCTATTAATGCCTCAAACCACTCGATCCATCACCATGTGATACAAACCTTGGCACTGCACTAGCTCGAGACACTGGAAGACACTCCGTCTGAGAAACTTGGGATAAGGCTTTGGTCATTGGAGTAATTCCATGTAAAAAACAATTGCAAATGTGCATTTGTTTTGCACATGGACACAAATGAGCCCTGAAAGCTACTTACCCTGTATTACTCTACACATGTTGCATTTCCGAGGGGGCATTTTCCCCTTGTTGCTCTTTTCCCTCATCTTGAGTGAGTTGCTGAACAATCCGAGAAAAAGATAGATGTTTTCAAAGAGAATACACCAAAAAATGGTTTATTCTAAAAACAACATAATAATACAGAACAACAATCAATGTGTGAGAGTGTGATTCTTACCTTTGAACACCTTCAACACAGTCTGACACCTGTAAGACTCAAACACACATGACACATTAGGAATACACATAGAACATTAGTTATTGCAACAATCATGAAATTATACTCTATGGATTTCACAATAATTGACTGCATTAAAGGTAAATGTATTTTAATTAACATATGGCTGTTTTTAAAGTTTATAAGAAAAAGTAAGAAATTGAATAGAGTTGCAAGCGCTAGTTAGCTTGCTACCAGCAGATGAATGGATATTAAATATTTGCAGCTAACAATAACAAAAATAACAACTGTAGTGGCTCATTTAAACAGCCACAGTGAGAAGAAGTGAAAGTCTCTGACATTGAAGACCTGGGAAGACATTAAATCCATTTATTAAACAAAGCAATACATGAACATTAAACTCTCTTTCTGCAGCAGGTAACATCTGTGTGCTCCTATGGTCCCACATGGTCCCACATGGTCCCACACCTGAACTCAACTGCAACTGATGACATCACAGGTGTCTAAATGATGGGAGTGTCCCAAATATTAAAGCTGATCTCCCCGTTTTTAAACTTAGTTTACTAAGTACTGTTGTCTTTTTGCAGTTTATAAACCATTGTGAAATATACAGTAACTTTACATTTTAGAATTGAATTATTATTTTAAAACTCAAGAATCTTAACATTTTTTAACACATACATGTAGTTTGTTGGACAGTCTAACCTAACAATTCTATGGTGTTAAAAATAGTTTGAAATATGAAAAACAATATCATATTTTAAACTTTAACTTAAAAACTAAAAAAAGGTGTCTCCCTTTCAGCTGAGCAGTGCCAGCCGTTATTATTATAGATTCATGCACTGGTAATTCAAAATACAGATAATATACAAAATATACTTAACAAATTCCACGTATACGTGAGAAAACAACTTACTTTCTGTCTCCAACTCTTTTCAATGTGGAAATGATACATCTATATCTAAAAACTGTGCAGACTGTGTACTTACTAGAGAGGGTGATTCCAAGTAAATAAAGCAGGGCAGCGACAGAGGTACAGATTCAACGTCATATCAACGTCTGGGAAGGCATTGCTTTACGTCCAGACGCAGACCTTACGTCGTTTAGACGTGGAAAACAGGTCCTCGACCGAGCGACTCACGTGTCAGGCTGTAACCTCGCATAAGTGTGCGTCGGTTGTTTAGGGTGTATCTATGATGTTTTCACAGTTGTCAATAGTAAATGGCTGGCGGTGGTGTAGCGGTTGCGCAATGAGTCGCATCAACGCGGGTTCAACATTTTTGACTTTTCACTTTTTAGCGAACAATTTTTCTCTGTTTGGTTAAAAACGAATAAACACTCAACATAAGATTATGTAGTGGCTAATAATAAAACTTGTGAACCCATGCATTTGCATAAAATCAAGTGCTCACCCCTTATTTGCAAACTTGAGATTGTTAGCACAACAAATGCATACATTCACAAGTTTTATTATTAGCCACTACGTAATCCTATGTTGAGTGTTTATTAGTCTTTAACCAAACAGAAAAAAATGTGTTCGCTAAAAATCGAAACAAATATGTAAAGATAATAATACACCCACGTGGGCTCGAACTCACGTAACCAAGGCTACCGTTAGGTACATTCAGGTTACTTCACAGCCTATATATTGTACTGCTAGATCAAGACGTACTGCGTCGGTCGGCCGATGACCTGTTTTCCACGTCTAGGGGAGGTCGGGATTGGACGTCATATCCACGTATATGGGAGGTCATTGTTTTACGTCCAGATGCGCACCTTGCACAGACGTCGTTTGGACGTGAATAAAAGGTCACAACCGACCGACGCGATATTGACGTGATCTGGAGGTTGAGTGGACGTAGGATGTTTAGTGGGTCTGAGGGATCACAGCAGCATAACGGCACCAGGGGATAAGATCATAATTACTATATTGCTAAAAAGTGACAAAAAAGTCAAAATAAATATTAAATTACGCAATAAGTCTAATAATTTTAGTACATTTTTCATTTTCATAAACATGGGGCAAGCACAAATGTCTTCTATTCTATGGGATAAACATTGCAACTGCATTTGAAAAACTTGGAAGACTAAATACAACTGCTTGTTGTTTTGTTTAGGCAAATAAAACGTCAAAATGTACTCAATAAAATACTTAAAAAAACATTTGATATGCACATATTACCATATCTTGTTTTCTTTTTTGTTGTCTAGACACAAAATGTACTGTAATTAAATACATAGATGACATTGAATAAAAAAAAACCATAAACTTCTTCTGAAACATGGATAGTTCTAATTTGTAAATTAACAGCACAATTTTGCACTGAATCAAGCAGCTATAATCTTTTATTTATATATTTATATAAATAAAAATTGCTAATAGTAATTGTTGTTAGCTCAATTGTAGTAACTAGCTTTTGACATGTAGACTGGATTTTTTCAGCACATCTCTCACCTGTAGGTTGGCTGCCTCCAACCAAAACATCTCTCTGAATCTTCCCATCATCCTCATCAATGGAAAACCAGCGATTAATGGGAAAATCATACATCATTTTGTTTCCCAGATCGTCCACCACCACCTTGGAGAAGACAGGTACATGAACAAAGTAGAAGTGAAAGGGTTAGGGTTATGTGGCTCTAACAGCACTTGCTCTGGACACCCTGGGCAAGGGATATTGGAATTCTGGTTGTGGAAGGAGTTTGGTGTTGTACGTAATTAGATTTCATTAAGTTGGAGCCAGAGAAAAAAAACAGTACTTTTTTCTTGCTTTTTTCTGGGTTAAATGGGTGAACATGTTCTTAATTATAGAATAATGTATTTCTGTTGCGAGGACATTTCTCCTATGGTGTAATAATACGTTATCTTTATATCTATCATTTTTAGAGTGAATACATTTCATTTAGTTGCCATCCTAGAGTAAAATAATTAATTAATTAAGGAATTAATGTTAACACCACTTTTTACTCCAAACAATATGCTTCTAAATAAGTAAGTTTGTGTTCATACAACCCATGGCCAGAAGGTCATGGGTTCAATTCCCACATCTACACCTTCTCCACCAACTCCCACTGATGACTGCTGTCGTTGTGTCCTTGGGCAAGACACTTAACCCCACTTTGCCCAAAGCCCCCACTGAAAGATCAAGGCTATGCTTACACTCAGAGAGCAGCCGTCCTCCTGTGGACTCACCACCTGCAGAGGGTCAGTGAGGGGCTGGTGCTATGAGACTTGGGTGGCATCTCTGACTGCCACCCCCCTGACCCAGAAATGGATTAAAGGGTAGAAAATGGATGGATGGATGGATGGTGTTCTTACAACAAATACCTGCTTAATAGAACAGAATATATTTTGTATTATTTTCTAGTCATCTGACAATCTGACGAATATAGAAAAGGGACAAGTAAAACATTTGTTATGATAAAGGTCTTAATCACTAATTTTTCATTGTTCTTTTAAGCACACAAAGACTAAACAGTTTTAAAAATTCTGTTCACAGCTATCAAGGTATCCAGTGACTGTGAGCTGCTTACTTAAACATCCAGGTGTCAAAAGATGGCGACATGAAAGACACCTGTCAACAATACATCTAAAACACAGCCTGCGGAGTTGTATGAAAGGACGACATGATTAATAGATGCTGTTACGCTTGGTCATTCTGTGCTGCAAATCTACAGACTTCTCCATCTGCTTGTGGAAATGTGATTCCTTAATGGAGGGCCGTTTCGTTTACACACAGGGTTTGGGTGTCGGTGTGTCCGTGGGCTCGTGCGCTGAGTGAAGTCACGGCTGGACTCCACTGCGCGCTGTACGTGTGGGGAGAGGCAGGTACACTAAGGGGGACACGAGAGCAGCAGAAGGAAACACAAAGATCAAATGTCTTTAAGTACAGAGGCAGAGGCAGTGTCTGGCCAAGCGCTGTGGATTACGTTAGGATTTGGGGTTAAGAGTGGGGACACATGTGAAAGATCGCACGAGATTCCCCTAATCCTTTACATTTGGACCACTTAAGAAAGGGTTTTTGATGTTAGATACGTATTCTGACACTGTTCAATTAAATTGAATCTATTTTCAGTAGTTATTACATGAGTTATCTCGGATGACTTTACAAAACCGTCACAGATCAGAGAAATGAAACAGATGCTATGATCAATCAATCAATAAATACACTTTTATTTGTAGAGCACCTTTCCTACACAAGGCAATACAAACCAAAGATAAAAGCGACAATAACAGATAAAGAGTTTGAAAGGTTTGAAAAGCAAAGATTAAAGGCCTAGACAAAAACTTTTATCTAGTAACATTATTTCTGTGAAATTTGTGTGAATGTTATTTCCACCTCTCACTTTGCCCATGAGAATCTTACAAATATCCGTTTTCCATAACACACTGAGGCTTTCTTTGCCAGATCGTTTCAAATGTGCCAGAGCCTCTAAGCTAGCTCATACTAGGCATACTAGGTTGTAACACTGACATCTAGACATTGCAGCTTCTGCAAAGCACAATTTCACCATGAAACATAAATGGTAGATAACACTTAATTATAAAAATCATTTGTGGAGACTGTTACGGTCTTAGATCTGTAAATTGCTCCTTTTAGGATTTAGTGTGTTTTTTGAGATCCCTGGCCTGTGATTGGAGAACCACTGGCCCTACCACCTCCCTGAAGTCAGTGAATCAGGTGCTGATTGGAGGAGCAGCGGTGCACCTCGCCAATCCAGCCTCCCCACCTGGAGTCACTCTCCCACTGAAAGGCACACTCCACACTTGTTCGGGGCTGCAGCCTGTGTGGCTGGCAGCTCTTCCCAAAGCAGATTGCTTCGGAAAGAGCAACACACGCTCCAGAGCGTTGCGGACGCCCATCACTAGTTTTCTGATCATCTATGGCTACAGAAGTACCTACCACCACCAAAGATTGAAAGTGTTTGGAATATTGTCAAATTATCATGTTATTATATGAATAGATAACCTATATTTTACCTTGTCAACAAACCATCCAGCAGAGGAGCCTTTATTGTTGTGTCCAATTGTGATCTTTCGGATTTTTCCCAGATTTGGCGCTTCTATAGTGAACTTGTCCTCTGTGGCTTGTTCAAAGTTGTTCTTCTCATTGTCAAGTCGTCTCTCTCCTGAAAATCAATTCAGAGGGATCATGCAGATCAGCTTCTCTAAGGTCTGGAGCACTGCATGTTTTGGCTTTTCCAATGAATGTAGAAATACAAAATCAGCTATAATCCAATTTACTGGTTGCATGGACTATGGGACAGCCGTTAGGGGGCTACAGACCCCACTTTGAGAATCACTGAAATAGACATTGAGATTGTGTGATTCTTAATTTACCGGTGTCTCCAAATTCTCCAAAGATATTCAAGAACACATCAGCATCAGTTCCACTTCTTTTTACATCAGCAGTGAAAACAGACACGACATATTTGTTATCTGCAAAAGATAGTAATAACCAAGAGAGATTTAAATCACATGATCAAGAATGTATTAATAATGATAATAAAAAAACATAATTCTTCTTCAAATAGAACGAATCTTACTACAAATGTGAGATTTTAGTCTCTTTTATAGTTATCATAGGTCATTGCATGATTGTAATGTATTTTCTTGAGATAGATGTACATTTTGGCATGTCCATGGGGTCCATGGTTCCGAGCAAGTCTCGGATGTAGAGGTGGTCTCCCTCTTCTTTGCTGAGCCAGTTGTTACAGGAGAAGTAGAACCGAAGGTGAGGTCGGATCACATCCGTCACCACCACTCGGTCCAGAAACCAGCTCGCGTTCATACCAGTGTTGTCGTGTTCGATCCTGATTTCACAGAAATGTTGTTTAGCCACAAGTTTCAGTTTGATAATATGCAGCAGTATATTCAAAGACCTCTCATTAGGGCTGCACGATATTGTAAATTAGAGCAATATCCGATGTGGGTGTTAAGTATTAAGATATTATTGCAATATTTTTGTCTTTCACCTAAAAATGCAATCTACGTTGAACCGCAAGAGAAAAATAGCTCACAAAAATTGAGCACAACATTCTTCTGTGTGGCGGCACTAGGTTGCAACAGATTTTGTCAAAGTGCGCGTACAAGAAATTCATATAGATAAATATTTCAAGATCATCGCGCATCTTTTAGAAATGGATATGGCATGTACCAATACTTTTTGGATATACAGTATTGTTCAGCCCTTCCTCCTATTATGTAATTTTACCGTATACATATTACACTATTTAAACGTGAACAAATTCAAAACAAAAGATAATATAAATAATGAACATGTCATACGTTATTGTTATACTACCGTATCTTTTTGATGTTTCCGACATTGTGAGTTCTTATTCTGAATACATCAGTCTTAGCCCTCTCAAATGCAGTGCGACTCCTGAAATGTTGTTACAGTTCATTAAATAAAGCTTAATGTATGTTTTGCTACAATGGTTTTCATAAGGGCTGGTCATGGAGTAGATACCTTTTCTCTGTGCTGGGGAAGAGAAAGAAAGAACAAAAATGTCACTATATCTAAATGACATTCATTGTTAGATTTTTTAAAGCACTGCTTACTTGCTGGCCAGGTGAACTTTTGGAGTGATGCCATACTCTCCAAACAGCGTGATAAACACATTTGCGTCAGTTCCAGCTCCTCTCTCGTCTCCAGTTATAGTCACCACCTCATAAACTAAAAAAAGCATCATATATAAAAACAAAAAATTACTGTTGGCACCAATAATGTTAATAGAATATTAGAAATGATATTAAGAAGACATATTATGTTTGTTGCTGCATAATATAGTCTACTCTCTGTTTTTAACAGCATAACATTACAACAGCCGCAGTCCAATCAACGGCCATTTGCCACTGCCTAATATATGTGTCAATGAAAATAATAATAAAAAACTAAGCAGTGGAAGTGAAAACACAGATCTATGGCTACTTGAATCCAGGAGAATGAAGCCCTCAGGCAGGGGGCTACGGGCTCTCCAGGCCAGAACCTCCCGCTATAAGAACAGATTCTTCCCCTCTGCAGTTGGACTCATGAAGTCAAACACTTACACTAGTCGCTTTACACTACTCCCACTTTATACTTCTGTCCCTTTATAATATCATCCCCCTGGTCACTTATCAATGATCTGGCCCTGTCTTGCACAACTTCAGAGGTCTGACGGGATCTGACTTTCGCATGCAAGTATGACCTTCTCAAAATACATGGGTTAGGGGTAATGTTAACCCCTAACATATGCAGCAGTTCCTAGTTTGTAATTTTGTATTACATACAATGGCAATAAAAATAATTCTGATTTTGAACAGAAACAAAAACATGATCACCTCACATTTTTTCGACTAGAGTACAAAATAAAAAGTATATGGTTCAAACTGAAATGTGATTGCAGTATAGCATGAAATAATGCTCTATGAAGATGTTCTCCAGGAGCATAATTTAAGCTTTGTTATGCAAATGTGACCTTTCTAGATCTAACCTTTCAAGGCCAACTGATCAATTATAAAAATAATAACTACACCTCCTAAATCCTAGAATATATTTTTAAGACAGCAAGACCATATTATGTTTTGTCTCTGGACTTTATAATAATCTTATTTATATCTTTTTCACTAAAACTTCTTCAGTATTGTATAGCTCTTTTTCGGACACTTAAGCACAAGTCATTATTCATTCATTCTATACAACATGGTACTGATAAACTACTACTGTAGCTAAAGCTGCCCTTAGGCACACTGACAGAAGCAAGGCAACCAGTATTTGCTGCCCCTCTGACCACCACCAACCATTCTCACACACACCAGTCGCCCCACTGTGGCACCTGGTGCGCCCAGAGATCTACCGTCACAGTAATAACCAGGCCCTGTCCTGCACAACTTCAGAGTATGGCCTTCTCAGAATACACGGGTTAGGGGTTATGTTAATCCAATATCTTTTAGCAGGATGAGTTTGAAAGATTATATGAGTGCAGGTTCACATGCAGTAGCTTGAGTCTGGCTTTGCATCAGGGAACTTTACAATTGGTGAGAGCCCGAAGGAAACCGTAGAAGATGGAGGGGCTATCGTTAAAATCGACCTCTGCTCTTTAAAATGAGTAAGTGGCAGGTGTCATGTAGCTGTAAGTTCAAGATAACCAAGTCCTGCACTGGACACCACTTCTATCAGTTAACTGCTCCCTATATCCCTGTTTCCAAACCATGCCAGAGCACAAGAAGCAAGCACATGGCACAGACCAAAGTTATTGTTTCCAAATGGGACACAGAAGTAGCTGATTTTTCAACAGCTACTTCTTTCAAGTGTGCACACATTATACTGAAGAGAGATTTTGTGTGACTAATACGAACGATAAGAAATGGGCTTTTTTACCTGTTATATTATTTATGGACATTTAAACTACATTCAACTTTATCTGTATTTCTATTGTGTGGCAAGCTTCAGACCACATGGTATGGCAACAGAAAAAAGCTGAAGACACTGATGAGACTTAAAACACTGTTAATAAAATAACAAAATAGTGGCTTAACCTTTCTTCTTGTGATATTCATCCTCATAGTTCTCCACTTTCTCCGGCTGATAGTTCCTCAACTCGTTTTCATAAATCTCCACGTAATTTTCCACTTTCTTCTTTTTTCCTTTCTTTTTTGTGTCTTCATCACTGTCCGATCCTTTCTTTTTCTTGTCCTTCTTTTTCTTCTTCCCTTCATCTTCATCCCCACCCTCCTCTTCCACCTCTGAGTCCTTTTTAGATTTTTTTGCCATTTTCTCCTTTGAAGAGGACTTTTTTGCGCTCCTCTTGGTGGTCTCTATCACATCTGGCAGTTTCTCTTTAGCTTTTTTGGACACATTGTTGTTGTCTTGGTCGGAGTTTTGAGATGTGACACTCAGCTCATCCTCGCTCACCTCTTTGGTTTTCTTTTTCTTGGCTTTTTCCTTGTCTTTGGTCTTTTTCTTGCTCCTCTTCACGTCAGATCCTGAAGTGTCCGAGTTGTCACGCTCCTCATCGCTGCCTCTGCTCTTCTTACTCTTCTTCAACTTGCTTGACTCACTTTTCTTCTTTGGTTTGGTTTCTTGATCCTCAGAGTCCTCGTCATCCACATCTTTGGTTTCTTTCTCGTCCGTCCTCCGTGTAGTTTTTTTCTTCTTTGTGGGCATCTTTAATTTATTTACTACCTTGTTGTAACCGTAAGCCGATTCCTGTGACACTTGATTAAACTGACCTGTGAGTGTACACCACAGTGACCTGTAGGATGGACATTAGGAGTCACCGCTCTGTCAGGCTGGCGGCCGGGGATGCACCTCTCTGCTGCTGGGACACCTGCTGAGGAGAGCCTTCATTAAAAATGATAATCTGCGAGTCATGTGACCTGCAAAGGAAACTCTCTTCATACACATGACAGGAGGCGTGTTAATCTCATGTACACAGCTCATTGTCATTTATCATGTCAAACTTAAAGGCTAACTGTCTACAATAGACACTTAATCAGACTACTAAAACTAAATACTGTTCTGCTCAACAATTAATATTGAATAATAAATTACCTAGTATAGAATAAGCCATGAAAGATAAAAAAAAAATCCTAAATTTGACCCAGACAAACCTGTAGAGTATCTCTGATTGTAGATAGCCCAATGCATTTCCAACCAACACTGTTCATTCATCAAACCACCACCTTTTACATAATTAGCTACAATTTAGGCAACGTTTTATGTTTATCTGTATATTTCATAAATGAGCATGGCATAGGTTAGCATGTTCCTTCTGTGTAAAAAACAATAAAACAGACAAATAGATTATAGCCAATTCAATTATAAACCAGACTGTTATTGAAGTAATTGATTTCAGTCTTGTGGAGATGAGCCTGGTTTTTACCTGGTTTTTACCTGGTCAAATACAGTTTTAATGATTCCAGCGCAGAGCCTCCGAGTGGACTGTACAGATAGAAATAGTTAAAACGATAACTTTATTTCAACCAGCCTCTACTCACCATCAAATCCAACTGCTTGAGTGCTATACAGAAGAAGTTGAACACAGGAATATGAAAATATAAAGATACAGTAAGTTGTCGAGTGTAAGTAATTTTATTTATGAAATGCAATGAAGGCTAAAATAATAACGCCTAGCTAGCTTTGCGTTTGGCTTAGTTGGTACTTTTATCTGACAGGAATATTTTGTTAAACTGAAGTGTAATAATATTAGTCTAATTTTATGACATGAAAGTCCGTTTATTTTTTGCACAGGGCGCCAAGGCCTCCAGAGCCTTTCTCATAACCTGTAGTTTCCTCGACGTCCAGCAGATGGAGCCAGTGTCTGCTGAATTCGTGAGGACCATAGACTGGACCAGCCGCTATGTCAGCGTATCTACTCCGGTTGCATCAGTCAGGAATGCTTATCACCCGGATGGCCCCCTCTTACGCCATGTAAGCTGATTTTTCTTCCCCCCCTTTCCTGGTTTTCTGCAGAAATGTAAAAGATGATGATGACATTTCCATTGTTGCTGCTGCTTAAGTGGATCAAGCTGCACACAGTAAAACAGTGCTGATGTGCCTTGAATTACATATATTCTAGAAAGAATAACAGAAAAAATACATTCGTTTTTTGCATGTGTTTTCCTCTTGCAGCGTTGTGATTCCATATATCTCGCTTGTCCTCTCGTTACAGTTTGGTATTAAACTGATCTACATTCAGGCACTATTGAAGGTATACTTTATTGTCCTCATAGGGACATTCATCCTCTGCATTTGACCCATTGTTCAATGCCACTAGAGCAGAGGATTCCAAACCGGTCCAGAAAGGGCTGCTGTGGCTGCAGGTTTTCTATCAGACCCAGCAGGAGCAGAGCAGACTGCATCCATTTCATCAAATCTTCAGGTTAAGACTGAACTCACTTGAGAAAATGAGCTGCGCTGCTGCTGCTGGGTCTGATAGAAAAGCTGCAGCCACTTTCTGGACCAGTTTGCACACCCCTGCACTAGAGCAACCTGTCAGAATCAGTGGACACTACAGTGCAGCGCCCAGATGCTGTCTTTCGGCTTGCTCAGGACTACTGCAGCTGGAGGATTTGGTTTGAGTGGTGGTAGATGTGAGTGGCAGTGGTCCACATTCAATCTGTAAAGTGTTTTTTAATTCTAGAAGATGCCTTGAGAAATATGTTGTCTTGCAAGTAGATCGGACTTTGCTTCATGGAGATAGCCTAGTTACATCTAATGCTGTACTATGGAACATTATAGATGCAAGACATATAGAGGATGGAGGCAGTTAAGGCTACAATAGAATTTGATTAATGTTGTTTAAAATATTCTTTTAGATGCCCCAAGATTTGGCGGGAATACAAATTGTCCTTGTGTTTGATGTTGCGTTAAATAAATCATGACCAGATAATAATCTAAAGAGATCTAGCGTTTGTAGAACAGAGAAAAAGATAGGCTGGGCGTGTAATTCACTGAGGAGTAAAGATACCGGACTTCAGTGCATTTGTCTGTTTGAACTTACTTAAAAGTGTTCAGGGTTCCAGCAACATGGCAGCCGACAGCATTATCTTTGTTGGGTTATTCACTGGAGCAATGTGTCGTGCTATTTACTTGTTCATGTTGGGTTCATTGAGTTTGAGCCGGACAAACTTCACTAATGTGGTGTTGCTTTGGTTTAACATTTACTCAGTTATGGGAAAACCTGGGACTTGGCAAGGGTTAAGGAACAAGAAACAAGGTACAAAGACAAGGGACGAGGGCGCAAAATGCAATCATAATTTTTGTTGTTTGATTTGAATGTGCTGGTAATGAAGATGAAACGTGAAAGTACAGAAACTTAAAATATTGTACATTTATTATTTTTCTATATCTACACTTCATGATTTACCACTTGTTTGGTTTGTGTTGATTTTAGTTATTTTTGCAGCTTTCCATTTAGTTTTTGTTTTTAACAAGCAACAACATTCTTCAAATATAAAAGGTTGAGTACTATCTATTGAAGAAAATTTAATATTTAGATGTTTTTCAATAAAGTTTTGAGATATCTTGTAGAAAATAGCTCATTCAAAACTTTGATCAATTTCCAATAAAGGTTATGCTATATTTCTATTACTATATTCTTGTTATAATATCACACACAGAGAAAGAGGGACACAATAGTAATCAAAATGTATCTGGGAGTTTGAGGCACCCACTGAATTTCAGATTTTGAGCTTAATTGATTTCCCAAAGACACTTCTGTTTATGTTCTATGCGTCCCTTGAGGAATTTCACAATAACACTGGTCGAAGTCTCCTAAAACAAACAGCAAGAGTCCAAGAGTTCACTGAGGATGTGGCGCAGGAAGTGAGGAGGAAACCCATTGTCGCGGCTGGATACGTGCGGGACATTGCCACTGTCATGTCTCGGCTGCCAAAGGCCTTCAAAGTCCAGCTCTGAGAATGAATGATGTTATGACAAGAGATCAGACCACAGGCAAAGACAAACAGAGAGCTCCATCCACCAGGGCAAGGTGCTGTGTCCTCTCTCACGGTATAATGGGATTCTGCGAGTTATATTAAGTGTGTCGGATATGATTCACACAGGATTCAGTGATGTAATATTACATCCATCTGTGGTCCTCGTAGATTGTTGCAATTTAAAGCTGGAGTACGTAACTTTCAACCCACAACATTTTAATTGTGTCATAAAATCCATCTTGGTCGTTCTGGGATCTAAAACGGTTCTTTAAAGTGATTATAATAATTCATTTGTTATCCTAGGCACCTTTTTAGATACTCAACGTCGTCCTACATAAAAAGTACATTTCAATTTAAAAATACAAACTTAAAAGACAGTTACAAAACTTAAAAGCAGCATGAACAGAGGTGTAAACAGTACATATATATGTGAGATATATTTCACATTATGCATTTTTTTTTTCATCTCCATCAAGTCTTTAGATCAGCAAATCATCTCTCAGTCCAACGCAGTAAAAAGTGACTCAAGGTTTTGCAAAGTTTGCTAAATGTATGTTTTCTGATCTGAAGTTCTGATCTGTTGACTTTTTACATTCACAAGACTCTTTCTGTTGGGACAAACAACAGGTGTCATTTATGAACAAAAACTTAAGCACCACAGCTTTAGAAATAGGCCTTCTCAAATGCATTGTATATTATTTTAATCCTTTGATATATCCTTGATTAAAGGAAAGTGTAATAACATGAATTCTTACTCCCTGCACATTAGACAAAATTAGCCACTTCTGTATCTCCAGCTGCTCCTCTCCTGATGATCATCTGTGCCATTGACCTTTCCAGCAGCTACAGACAAGGTAGGGCTTTTCCAACAAAGCAAAAGTATGTTTGTTTCTGAAGGTTTTTTTTTTAACAGTTTTATTATAATTGAGAGACAAGTTCGTCACAATAGTCTTTGGGAGGATAGCCTTAAAGTAACAACCACATTTATTTAGTTCTCTAAAATTAGGCATCTATCATCTGTAAAAAAAACAAAACAAAAAAACATTGTTGTTGTTCTTAAAAAGTGTCAGTAACTTATGACACTTTTAAGGAACATAAAGGAACATAAGAAGTGACAGTAAAACCTAACGTTCTGTAAAAAGCAGCCGCATCAACTCCTAACATCACATACAGAATAGTCAGAAGACCTCATGCCTATAAAATGCTTGGGTGGAACAAGATGAGTAAAACGGCTCAGTGGAACAAAATTGGATAGTTTTGTTGCCTATAAAGTCAATATTTAATAGACACTTCATTTGACATAGCGTTTAGCAATATCTGTGTGGTTCTGTCAATGTTCTTTTAACATTGTGTATAAATAATACAACCACACTGGGTACATGCGTCATTGTGTTTACAAGCACGTTTCAACATGCTTCGTCTACCCTCAAATGTATCAGACTTTTTACAGCAAATTCTTGACACATACTCCAGATAGAGGGATCGCCCGGGTATAATTTATGTTTGGTTGAAATGGTTTAAACAAGTGGAGTTTCTGATGAGTGCTTTTGTTAAAGTGCACTGACTGATTCAAGTGCAAAAGCATTATGTTCTCTTCCCTCTGGTAAATCACTTAGCTTTGTGTATGTATGTGTCACTAACCATTAGAATTTGTATATTCTCAATAAAACACGGTATCCTTTTCTCATAGTAAGGAAAATCTTCCCACGATAACTGTTGTTGCTGAACTTTTCCAACAGGCCAATTTAAGCTGCAATGAAGGCAAAAACTACAATTATATATTTAAGCCATAAGTCGCCATGGAGTAGAAAATAGTTTCTGTCTTATTTGTGTTTTTGTTGTTATTTGTGTATTTTTGTAGTATAATTATTTGTTCTTTTACAATTTATAAAGCGCTATAGCTTATAGTGAGAAGCTTTCTTTTCATCTCAGACATTTTGTTAAACCTGGGGAATCTAACCTTCGAACCCCAAAAAACCCCAATAATGTATTTTAATCCAGTTTTTACTTCTCAGTGCTATTTTTCACACGAATGCAATTTTGTGGCTTCTGTCACATCTTTAGAACACCTTTCTCAGTGATAGTGACTTGTAGGGCTCTGTATTATAAGTATGAAAAAGATTCATATAATAGAAAAAATGTAGGTGCCGCAGGTTCAAGCCTCTTTTGTCTGTCCACTTCTAGCCCTGTTGTACTCCTGCAGCAAATCATTTAGAATGGACCAGATCCAACACAAAACCATGAATTATTGCAGAGGATATTAGAGCTGTGCAGGATTTATCATTTAGCTGAAAGCATATTTCCACTTTAAAGTGTGTTTCCCCCTGAGTTTAGCTTGATTAATGAATGAGTTAAACGCATAAGTCACAGCAACCATTCCCAGATGGTGAAGGTGCATTTAAAGTGCTGAAATCTCACAAGATGTTAGGATGCTCGGAAACAAACATAATTTAAATGTAACTTTGCACACACTTGTGGCCTCTTGTTTTTCCTCAGAGGTTTCACAGTAAGTCATTGTTATTTATGTTGCACATAAAACACACATAAAAAAGTATAATGTTGTAAACAAATAAAACCACAACAATCTCTCTTCATCCTATTATAAACTATTTCATCTTTTACTTTCTTGGATGAATGCTCGCTGCAAGTCACAATGTGATGCTTTTTTGTTTGAAAAAGCTGATCTAAAGCTGTGGCATAGAACCGAACTGTCTTGAGGGAAATATTTAGTCATACTTCCTTGTATTTTTGAGCCATGAAACTGATTGATATTAATGCCAATATTCACCTTTGCCAGTAATGCATTTAAAAAGTAATCATCCACTTTTAAGAACCAGTTGTAGTCGATGTTCCCAGAATCATTTCAATGATTAATGGAGCAGACAATCGTGGTTTGTAATTGGTAATTACAGGATCTAATACGTTCTGCAGTGTGTGTAATAGGCAGAAATTATTGTTTTAAAACTTACTCTGCAGATTTGGCTCAAATGCAGGTGAAGGGGGAGATGCTGCTACCGGAGGGCCTTTATCCCCACCGCTGTCAGACTGTACAATAAGTCA